CACTTGGTTCCCCCTCCCGGGAGGCTTTTTGATTAATTTGTAGTTATTTCTCCATTAGATGACTGGCCTGAGAGGGAAATGACAAACAGTTCCTCTAACCACTTAGAAGACCCACATTATAATGAGCTGACCAACCTGAAGGTGTGCATTGAATTAACAGGGCTGCATCCTAAAAAGCAACGCCACTTGCTGCACCTTAGAGAACAGTGGGAGCAGCAGGTGTCGGCAGCAGAGAGCAAACCTGGCCGGCAGGGCAGGAAGGAAGTGACCCAGGCCAGTCAGCCTGAGGCCACAGCCCAGGGCAATAGCCTCTCCGAAGAGAAGCCTGGCAGGAAAAGGGCAGAGACCAAAGGCAACAGAAGCTGGGCGGAAGAGGCCCTCAAGTGCAGTGACAATGAGCAAGGTAAGAGGAGGCCACCCTGGGGGTGGGAAAGGGCCCTCGAGGGGGACCCGAGCGACATAGGTGGCTGGGAGGGAGTTCTTCCATGATGTCCTAGCAGCCCCCGTGCTTCCTTCTGGAATGTACAGTGAGGAGCACAGCTGAGAGGCGGCAGCTGGACCTCCTGGGTTGCTCCTCGCCCGGGAGTCTGGGTGACCCCGGCGCACTCACTCAGCCTCGGGCGTGTCTGGCCGCTGGGTCCTCAGCACCCAGACTGGCCCTGCTCGGGGAGGTTGTAGGCTCCCAGGCCCCGTGGGGTGGGAGCCGGAGCGCCCCTGGAGAAACTCACCACAGTGCTTTGACGTCTGGATGTGGGCTAATTAAAATATTAACGCTTTGAAAACGTAATTGGTGTATCTTTAAGATAACCCGAAGCCGCTCTAGCGAGGGGCGCCGACAATGGGCTTTTCTCCGCTCCGGCTGCAGCTCCGTAACGCCCGCCTCTCCCCCCTCTCGCCCTCCGCGTCCAGGTTTGCCTGTGTTCGCCGCCTCTCCGCCCATGAAGGGCCTTTCATCCCCCAATGCGAGCGGCAAAAAGCAGACTCAGCCAAGCTGCACGCCAGCCTCGAGGCCGCCTGCCAAACATCCGAAAATTAAAGAAAACCCGAAGACAGATGTGCTGTGCACGGACGAGGAGGAGGACTGCCAGGCTGCGCTGCTGCAGAAATACACCGACGGCGGCGAGAAGCCGTCCGGGAAGAGGCTGTGCAAGACCAAGCACCTGATCCCGCAGGAGCCGCGGCGCAGCCTGCCGCTGCCCGGGGACTACTATGTGGACAATGCTGACGGCAAGGTACGTCTGCCCCTCGCCGGTCCCTGGGCCTGGGGGACACCTGCTTCTGGGCACCAAGCTTTCCTTTGCCTGGACTCCGTTCCCAGGGTCACTCCCCCATCGTGGGGGGCATGGCTCCTGGGTGGTAGTGAAGTTTCAAAGTAGCGAGAATGGAATCCCTGCCCCCAGCACCCCTCCCCGCAACAAAAGCGGGGAAATTGCCCGCCTCCACTTGGGTGTTTACCGCCCAGGGAAGAGGCTGAGGAGGCTGCCGGCCTCATGCGTGTGCGCTGCCCGCCTCTGTGACAGGTGACGGTCAGGAGAGTCCGAAAGCGGCCCGAGTCCAGCTCCGACTACGATCTGTCCCCGGCCAAGCAGGACCAGAAGCCCTTTGACCGTTTGCAGCAACTGCTACCCGCGTCGCAGTCCTCCCAGCTGCCTCGCTCCAGCTCCCCGCCCGAGGCCACGCAGTCGCGCCCCATGCCCCCCGAGGCGCGGAGGCTGATTGTCAACAAGAACGCGGGCGAGACCCTCTTG